ACTCTATTTCTTTTGCGAACCCGACTTTTAGTCTGGTTTTGTCGATCCCTCCCACCCTACCCGTAACCATTGGAAAAAATATTAATGCGTTCAATCTGAAGTTTGTGAATAGATGGCCTGTCGTGACGACAGTCATAAAAAAGTCTATTATTGGTCTTGTCGGCCAATCCAGTATAGTGTATCATTAACTAGTTGTGGCCTGTCGGGACGACAGTCATTTTAGAATTTTTTTTTAAAAAAAAAAAAAAAATCGTGTTCGATTCTATAAAACTTGCATTGGATGCTCGACGCGGAAGGAATAAAACCCGTATGTTTTTCCATGAAAATCACAAGCGTATGAGAGACAAAACAAAAATATACTACGAGAATTGGCGATGGTGCATTTGCAGACGTATACCACGCAGAATTAATGAACCAGAATTTAAAGAGTGTTAAGAGTGTTGCAATAAAAGTTTTCAAGACAGTTAAAGCATTAAAGACTATGTTGAAGGAGGTAAAAGTCGATTATATATTTTACGTATACGTATAACCCAATATGTAATTTAAATACGTACATCCAGATTACATTGCATAAAAAGTAGGCGTAAAGAAAATTATATAATTTTACGGAACTACTAAACGGAAAAGTTATATTTTAATTGATTCTTAGATTAGCATTTACTTAATTCTTAACATTAAATTTGATAAATGATCAATTAGCCAATGACCTTGATTCTGAACTGAGTTATGCGTGTTTGCGGATGGCAGTACGTTAAGAGATTATTTTAAGAAAAATCCAGATTACAATTGGTCCATCTCGCTCTACAACTTTCTTAAGCTATTATGTATATTCACTCTAAAAATATTGTTCATAGAGATCTTGTAACTAAAATTTTATAATAAGCCTTAGTTTAATATTATAGTTTAAATGCTTATATTTAACACTCATTATTATGCATTGCACTCAAAGAACATATTAGTTCATGAAAATCATATTAAGATTTCTGACTTTGCGATTTCCAGATGTTTATTTGATGCATCAAAAACCAGAACAGAACTTGTTAGCTGTATAGCATACAGTGATCCTCAGTGTCTTAAGAACGTTGGCCAAGAATTACAGAAAATAAATAAGAAATGTGATATATACAAGTTTAGGCGTGCTCTTGTGGGATATATCTAGTTTACGCCCCCGTTTAAGAAAACGAAGATGTATTTCTGTGGCAGCAACTATTGGAAGGTCACATAGAAACTCCTATTAAAGGAACTTCACTAAAATATTCTGCATTATATACTGATTTCGTATTTTGAATTTGTAGGTGCTGGAAAAATGGACCAAAAAATTTTACAGTATAATCTTTTGAAATCTGTATTTTTCTGAGTTAATATAGATTTTATGTAATATAAAAATCAATTTTCTGCAAAACCTATTTCCCAGCACCTATCCCATATATTCCTTAAATGAATACACTTTTTTTTAAATGTACAATGTTAAAGTTTGATCCCAAGAGTGCATTTATAAAGGTTTTACTGTATACAAATATTAAAACTTTTGATATTTTTTTTCCTGTTCAACTTTATGTAATATTATTTATTTCTAAATAGAATTTTTGAGTCATTAATTTGGCCAAGGTGAGAACGGTAGATATGATCTTTTATCGAAGAATGCTGTCTTTACTAATTTATTATATAGTATATACGATACTAAAAATGGGTTATTAGAAAGAAATAAAAAGTAACGCGAGAAATTCAAAATCCAAACTGCAATACTACAGTATAATTTCAAAAAATTTTATAAATCAACGATCGCCGTCGTTCAACGATACATCCAAGTGCCTAGTACTATTTAAATTTCTACGCCTAATATTACACGATTATCTTAATTTTAGGCTTTATATGTTGTGCGTCAAACTAATATCTACATAAAATTAAATAACTACAACACTGTAAATACCTATTCTTAACTCTAATGAAACTCAGTATTTAAATTTTGACTTGACCCAAATTTTAATTTGACAACATACATATATATAAGAGCACGTTATCTGTCATCAAAAACATCTAAGAAAATCTAAAAAGAAATGTTTTTGAGTAATTTACCAAAAACCAGAAATTTACTGTAAACAAATTTATAAGGAATATTATCGCAGGTATATACTATATATATGTTATATATGTTTAATATAATTAATAGAAATTGTTAATTATAAGTTTAGAACTTATTATTTGCAAAATATTGAACAAAAGAAACAAATTGTAAAGCTAAATTTGAGGTGAAAATCAAGTTATCTGTTTATAAAGTGGTTTGATACAATCTTTTTTGCAATGTTTTCCATCTAACTAAACATGAATTCGGTGTACGACCTTCGAGACCTTTAGCAATTCGATTCCAAGCAGGAGAGGGCATTTCACCCAAAATAAAATCGATCATATAATTATCTTCATCAACTTTCCAAGCGGTTTTCTTTTTCGCATGTTGACCACTCTTACCCTTTTTCTTAATTGATGGTTTCTTTTCTACCTCTTCATAATCAGAGTCACCTGTTTTGTAATCATCGTCATCGTCATCTTGATCCTGACGAAATTCATCTGATTCGACTTCATTTTCGGATTTGATGCTAGGTTTACGACCGCGACCTCGTTTTGGTGAGCTTTGATTGGAAGAATTTGATGATGATTTTCTACGTTTGGAAATGGGAGAATTCATTTTTCGAGTTGATGTTCTGGTCCTTTTGGCAGGTGGTGGTTCAACGGATTCATCAGATTTATTTTCATCATTATCACCGTCAACGTCTGGAGATTCTTTAACTTTTGTGGGTTGGGGCTGTTCACTTTTTCTCTTTTCTGTGGGTGAAGTAGGAGCTTTTTCCTTATCCTAAATTATATAAAAGAGTACATACGTACGTATGTATGAATGTACGTAGTAATAATTATTAAAGAATATTATCAACAAAAATGTTTTTTCTATCAAATACATGGAATACTCACAATGTCATTAACGTTATCATCACTCATAGGCATAATTTGTACTTCTTGAGTCATTTTGGGTTCTTCTGTTAGTGAAGGATCTACTTTTGTTTCTTGATTCTCCTGTAACGTGAAATCTTTTGCTTTTACATCTGAAGCCATTTGATATTATTCTTTAAAAAAAGAAAAAAAAATTTCGGGACTATAAGAAAGGTTAATGATTTATATATTTGAAATTAATACGTGTACGTACATGTATTTATGGATTGATATATATATGTATATATATATAACGAAAATATAAAATAGAACGTAAAAGTTTTTGGATGATAAAACTTTAAGAGATAATAATCGTTTTGAAGGTGAAAAAGAAACTCATTGACAAAAATTCTTCAAAGGAACACCTTTTAAACTAATGAGTAAAAGCATTAATCACTTTTGTTTTTTTTTTACATCACTTTATTTATGTCATTAAAAAAATAATTTTAAAAACTTTCACGTCCCTTAACATACTTGATTATATAATGATCAGTGAATGATAGAAAGACTAATATATGTTTTATTGCTAGTCAATTGAAATAAAAATAGCTATCAAATAATATTCAAATATTTACATTTCAAAACTATGTCAAAAATAAAATATATGTGACGTTAAGTATCTATTATCTAGTTTGAAGTCTATAAAATGAAGGATGTGCTATTCTATGAATCTTCTCTTCTAAATATAATTACAAAAAAAAAAAAAAAAAAAAAACATCTATTCCTATTAAATGTTCTAATTATTAGATATCGTAAATAGGATAATCTATTCATTTAAAATCATTTCTAAGTAGGCTTCTGGTACACCCATTGCTACTCTATTGCAATATGCAAGTCCTTCGTCAAATGATCTAAACATCACCATAAAAACTGCACCGGTACTTGCACAGAGTACTGCGCAGAAAAACACTACGTCTCCTATTAATACAAGTAACGGTATGAGAATGGACCCTGTTACTGTAGTTACAAATGATGTAAAGTTGTATCGTGCATTAATTCCAATATAACTTTTCCAAAGCGCATATTCAAATTTACAGACCATTGGAAAGTATAATATGAGAAAAGTAACTACTGTTGTGGGAATTGTAAGAAGGAAATATACTGGATAAATTAATAATGGAAAAAGAATGAAACTGTTCCAACTTAAATCTCTAGTTGGACCCGTATAACTCATTATACTATGAACTTGTTGAGGAACAAGTGAATTACATTGATCCCATGTTGACGAAGAAAGGTCTAAAGCTGATCTAATAGGTTGAAGAATGGACGATTCTCCCATATTTGTCCACCGGTCCTCATTTTGATTTATTTTTGAAATATTACGGTTTTTATAACGTTGGTAAGTATAATAAGCCATCGTTGCTGAAGGTGAAAACGTATGATACGGTTCGTTTGGTTTACTAATATGTTCTCTAACTGGGCAAATAAGGGTAATCCAAATAGTATAGAAAAACGAAACAACGATCCCAACGGGAAGATATAATAATATCAAAATAGGTGAAAGTATGAAAATTATTAACTTAAGGTTCGGTCCAATATATCTATTTGCAAAAATTGTATAGTAAAGGTTTATAACATTATTTGGAAAGAATATGATCAAGACAAAAATGTTTGTAAAGGTACATGCGACAAAAACTGGTAAGAAATAAATTATAAAATCAATGAGAATCAAAAGTGTGCTAAATGTAATGCGATAGATTGTACAACTTTTAACCATTTTTTTTTTTTCTTTATTTCAAATACATATTCTATATTAATTATTTATACTTCAATCCCGAATGTTTATGCACGTACTGAAATTTCAAACGCAATGAACCACTACGTGACAATCCTTAATTATGTACCACACCATCAAACACCACCAAATATCATCAAAAACAATCAAACGCATCACATGGCATTAATTGTAACAACTAAGTCCTATTTCTTTCGTGCAGGTGCGAAACAAATACCGATCTACGACAGAAATAAAATCAAATATATACTATATACTATACAATCGTTATATTATTTTATCATTAGGACTTTCCAAAAAAGATAAAAAAAACGTCATTGGTTGGTGATCATGGCCTTATTAACCGCCGAAGATTTTTTTAACGCCCAACACTAAATTCTATCTAGTAATTTCTCGACTGATGTATAAATTTTCTGTATCAGGTGCTGCATCTGATCAAAACTTTAGAATTTATTGCATAGACAAAAAATTACTGATCATAGATGGAAAAGTCATGATAATTTCATCTTTACTAAATAGTCAATCATATGTTTTGATAAATATCTATTCTTTCCAAGTTTAATCTATATGGTGTAGAATAATAATCGAGATGAACGAACGGTTTTTCTTGTGTCTTCTTATGAGAAATATCATTCTATAATCAACGATCAACTTACTGTACGCACGTACTTTAAATCAATAAGCATGCAAGTAAATATTTGTGTTGTACAATGTTAAGTATATGCTTTAGTGGTTCATGAAAAGCAACATATACCTGATACGTATGTATGTATATACCTGAGACGTACGTAATTTTTTAAATGATTACTAATAATGACACGGTTTGACTAGTTATATGGTGATCACAAATTATGTGAATGACTACAATAATCGGGGCACTGTCACATGATTTTCAACTTCCATCAACACAAATCAGCGTAATGTGCTCTCGTGCTCTACTGAAAAGTTCTCCATCGGGAAAAAAATTTTGAAACCCGATTGTAATTGATTAAAATTTAATGATTCTAAGCGATTAATCATCATTACTGGTGATTATGGCAGTTTGCAAGGTGTGATCTTTGCATATTATATTATGTGAAATCACAGAAAATCAGCAGATTCTTGCAGATTTTGATTCTTCAACAATTGATACGTATAGACATTGCTATTTACAAACATGATAGGTAGACAATTTAGAACCCACAAGTTCACGCCTTTTAACAAAGTGACAAGTTCACGCCTTTTAACAAAGTGATAAAAATACAATGGAGATTTTTATCGATTATATAATCGATATCTACGTATAATTGGAAAGATTCGATTTTATTTATAATAATCGCTTTCGATTTTTATATATCACCAGCAATGATAATAATTGTTTGATTAACTACTTGCAACAGAATATGATCGGGTTTCAAAATTTCCCAATTTTCTTGAGCAATTTTATTATATACTTCGCTAATATCAAACCCTCAATAAATAAAAACGAATGTTGTCGTTGATCAGGTGCGTGATTTTTTTTTTTTTTTTTTTTTTTGCTGGCGATATTGGATATAGATGGTGCTGAAATTATTGTGGTAATTTCTACATTCTACAGTAGAAATTGTTGAAATAAGTTCAATCATTTGAAACTAATCTATATACAAATTTTAAATCAACAGTTGAAATTAATCAACGTCGAAATTAAATTGACAGTTGAAATTAGCGGTTAAACTTAGTCTTTGAAATAAGATATCTATTTCTTTATGAACCCCAACAAATGAATTAGAAATCTATTAAAGATCATATAACTGTCGCATTGGCTGGTCCTGTAGTGAATTATTGTGATTATAAAAAAGCCGAGATAGATTTAAGTATGGGAAATATTGTTCAAATGCCAAAATCACAAATTAGCTATTGGATTAAAAGGAATATTAATAAAGGTGCACTTATTTTTTTATAAGTTATTTATATAATGCATATATATTTTCTTCTTTACATATTCTCAATGAAATTAATTTATAGATAAAGTTTGCTGAGAAATCGGAAACTTTTTCTTTAACGAGGAAAATGGTTAAATGCGATTGAAAAAAAAACTCGGGTCTCAGCCAAAAAAAATGACAAATAAATTGGTTACAAAAACTTCAAGAAATACATATATATAGGTGTTAACTTATTTTTAAAGAAAGTAATTCCGCCATTGCCATTTTTGTATTTGGAATAAGAAATTCAAATAATTTCGTCATTATGAAAATTAATTTCAATAGACTAATTGTAGAAGTAATTTAGCTCCCATGTATAGAAAGACATGAAATCAAACAGTTTACTGGCAAGTCACTTAACCAGTATCACATGAAGTGAAAATTTAGCATATATAATTTGTAAATTGTCACGTTAAGTGATGCCGTTGGCTTGTCAGTAAAATATTTATCATGATCTTGTTTAGGGTTGATTTATATAAATTACAATTTTACATTACATGTAAATTTACGTAAGTTTCGGAAAATTTCATCACGCGTACTAGATTTAAAAATAAAAATAATGAATTAACAAAAAAGTTTACCTATAACTATTCTAAGTTTAGCCAGTATTATATTATCATTTGATTTTGTAACTCTTAAAATCACAGAAAATTGATCTCAAAAATTGTGTTCAAAATTACATGAACAAGAAACTTATCGCAAATTACACAGAATCCATAGTACCTCTTCAAATAGTACCTTCCTCTTCACGGTACCCTGGGTTTTATCTTAGCATTTTTGAAAGAGACCAAGGTAATGTATGCAGCGCTGTACGGATGTATGCAGCGCTGTACGGATGTATGCAGCGCTGTACGGTATTCATATTTTATATGATAACATATAACAAAAGTCAAAAATGGGACATATTAAAGAGTATACATACATTCGGTACGGTTCGGTAGTTTGGTTAGTACCGTATGAACTGTACGGTGATTACCGGTACTGTGATAAATATAATTCATGCGTACTACGTACGTTATGTACGTGTAACCAATAAATACTTATTTAGCATTGGATGATAAATTAATTGATGACATAACACTATCGCTATCGATATAAGAAAATGCAAACTGCAAATCTAAACCTTTTTTATCCACCAATTTCTAAAGAAATAATGGATTTAAAATTAAAAGTCGATATTGATACGCTCGATACAAGTTCAAGAAATAACAATATATCAAATCAACCCGAAATAATCGTGCTATCCGATTCAGACAATGAGCCAGTGCTAGTAATTTTTTTATTTTAATAATAATCAGCGATAAATTTAATATTGCATAATAATAAGTTTATATTGTATTAAAGGAATCAACTTCGAATTCATTTATCCGATATTATGAAGTATTATTTGTACTATTGTCGTGGCTTGGTATTTGATCACAAATTATTTTAAAAAAAAAAATTAACAAGTGATTTTATAAATAGGATTTACAAATTTCTAGCAGCTCTGAAAGTGAATATTGTAGCGATAATAGCTTAAACGATTGTGTATCTATGGATAATTTAAATGATAATGATATAATTGGAAATAGTTTGAAAGATGAAGACATCTATGAGGATTTAAACGATAATGATATACTTGAAAACCGTTTGGAAAATGAGGATAACGATGAGGTATAATAATTATTTAATTTAATATAATATTAATGTATATAATTTATGTGGGGGATGAAGCTGAAATTTGGATGATCGTTAGGATTAGGGTGATTAGCCAATGGGGTTTTTAGATTTCATGATCATTCAAATTTCAGCATCATCTCCGACAATTTATATGTATATAGTAATTAATTACAGTTATTTTAATTATGTAGCAACCAACATTTGCCAAATTTGGCCGAAAATTAATCGTCGATCAAGTTGAATATTATCTTGAATTTCAGGAATATCCGAAGACTTCTTTAACGGGTGTAGCAAGTGTTTATAATGTTTCAGGCTGGAATCATAATGATGCTAAAAAAATGGTTGGAATTTCCAATATCCAGTATGCTCATGGAGATCCTGGAAATATTCGATCTATTAAAAAATGTCCGTTCTTAGGTGTACCAGTTCAAAAAACTTATCGATCATGTCATAGTGTAAAAGTGTGTGAATTCGGTTCAACTACTCTTAATATTGAACACACCTCAGTCGATTTTGAAAATCAATTGTATAAAAAAATCTTTGATGCAAACGAATTTTCTATTAATACGTTCACACTAAAGTAAGTAAATAACATTATTTAAATTTTATTTTTTTTAATTAAAAATTCTTTTATAATTTTAGCACATACGGTCAAGCTCATAATACCCCATGTCCATATGTTGATCCAATTACTAATATTCATTGTAATGGAGGTCCTGTACTTAAAGAATATAAACAGGTATAAAAATTAATACAGTTTACTCTCATTATATAGTTATAATAGACTTTATTATAGCAGATATTCATTATAATGAAGTAATTTAAACTATTTTTTTTTATATTATGTAATGCCATACATAGCATTCATTATAATATTCAGCTTGACTACTATGTTATAATGAGGGTAGATTATATACAAGCAATTTTTGATGCAAGAAAATTGTTAAAAATTTTCTTATATCAAAATTTTTTGTATCAAAGAATAAAAGTTTTATTTTAGATTTATGTTAAAAGTATATATTGAATATTTCTTATATTAAATTGTATTTTTAAATTTAGATCGATAATACATCAACTATTCAAAAATTTATTGGATGTCAAAAGTATCAATTTGGTCAGAAAGGGCATCGTTATATTGCAATTAGTCAGCGTGTAAATTTAGAATATCTTGAACAATTATTTTAAAACTATACTTATTGTTCTGACGAAATTAGTGAAAAGGTATAAATAAATAAAAATTTATTTAATTTATTATAAAAATTTAATCTTAATTTAATTATATGTAAAATAATAATAAGTTTACCAATGAATGCTTTACAGTTTTTCCTAATTCGTCTACAACAAAGTATTGTCGTGAGTATTAATTTATTAAATTTTAATTATAATGTATTTTCTATGTTATATTAAAATTAATTTATTATTTTGTTGTAATATAATACATAGCACATCTTCACAAAACGGATAATCAAGTTTTAAAAGGAAAATTAATTAATAAAGGATATTGTCCTGTGAAGTTTTATCATATTTTGCCTAAAGACCTAACTGAATGTCCATTTATTGTAATAATTTCTATTGGCATTCATAATCATCCGCCTCCACCTCCAATTAAAACTCCACAAAATATAATTAACAATCTACGAAAAATTATTGAAAGTAAACATGATTTAAGTCTTACAGCCCATAAACTTCTTACAAGTAAGTTATTTATTTTATATTATACAATTATATGTATTATATTATTTAATATTATATACTAATATAATTTTAGAGCCAATGTTAAAACTATATCTTCAAGGACAGCCATTAAGTAGTCTTCATCCTTCACTAAATAACTAATCACGTCTTAATTATTTAATTGAAAAAGATAAACGGTCAAGATATTCATTTAGGCAGGATATAATTGGTAATTTTTAGATATTATTAGACTATATATGCAAAGCTAATTTTTTGTTTTATATAATCCATTGACCAGTTTTTAATTTTATATAAAAAAATTTTTTTTAAGTTCCAATTGCACCAATTATTTTAATTTTTTATTTTACATAACCCGTCAACATTTTTTAATTTTTAAAAAAATCTTTTTTTAGTCTCAATTACACCAATTATTCGATTAATTAGTAATTTTTATTAATTTTTTATTTTATATAACTCATCAGTTATTTTTTGACCTTCAAAGAAAGTTTTTTTAAAATTCTAATTGTACCAATTATTTGATTTTTGCTATTTGTTTTATTTTTTTTATAGTTTTATCTAATATTGTCTAATATAATCCATAATTATTCAATAGAACCAAAATAAAAAAAATCTATCTGCCAATCTAATTTTTTAAATTCTATACTATACAAAACAAAAAATTAATTTTGCATAGTCTTATATTAAAAATTTTTTAAAATAAATTATATATTTTATTTTAGGGGTCATACATGAGTTATTAAAACAGAAAAAATCATCAGATCCTTATATTCACTCAGTTAGTAAGTACTAAACAATTAAAATAAAAGAACTATTTTTTACTAGTTTTTATTACAAAATGTATATTTTTCAACTATGATTTACAGTTAAATTGTTTAAATTGACTAATTTTAATTTAGGAATTTTTAATGATGGTCAATATCTCATTTTATGTACTTGGAAAGAACAAACTGAATTACTTTCTCAAGTATTATATGTTGAAATTGATATGGCGTTTAAAAGAATCCATGGTATTACAAATGAATGGGAAATTTGCGCATATATTAATCGTTATCAAAAAAGTAAGTTTTAGTATAATTATCATTCAAAATCATAATTTTATTTAGTATTTTCTTGTAAAGCTTAAATAAAATATTTTTTTTTATAGCATTAGTTTTTGCACGAATTTT